AAAAAAAAAAAAAAAAAAAAAAAAAAAAAAAAAAAATTTCTACTAGTTGCTGGGATTTTTCAGGATCAGCTCTGAAACCCACATTTGCTTCCTTGGTCCTCACGGGAATATTCTTTTCCTAGCATTGCAGCCTTAGCTTGTAGGCAGCTTAAGAAAATAAGAACAATAGTTAATCAGCGGCTCTCACATGCTCATCTGCTGGCTTCCTCCAGGTTCATTCATGCTAGTGTTGGAGAAACATGTTAATTAACAGCTCCGACCTCAGCTTTCTTAGCTGCAAAAACCAAAGTGTGGTTGACCCAGATGTTTGAAGGATTCCATGAGATGATGGTGATTTGTATTAATGACATTTAGTGTCACTATTCCCAGATGGCCAGACTATAAGCCCACCAAGGAAGAACCAGCATGGGGCCTTCCACATTGTCCTAATGAGGAGCTATTTATAGATTTCCTCACCATCCTGATTGCTGCCGAAAGAGGGGAGGACTAGCAGCTGCCAGCTGGGTCATCTCCTTCCTGCCTGGTAAGTGACCATTACCCAGCTTTGGGGTCAGCTTGGCAGATTCCACCAGAGGTCAGTGCTCAAGAATAAGATTCTAGAAACTGTCCAGAATTCATTGGCTCCGACTTTATAAGAACGTAGGTAAAGATACAGTTGTGCATTGGAACTCCACTGGCATTTTTTTCTTAATGAGTATGTATAGAGTCCAGAAGTCAATGTCACAGGTCTCCCTCCAGTGCTAGAGTTTCAGTCACATACCACTATACTCTCATGTAGGCGCTCTGAACTCAGATCTCCGTGTTTGAGCATCAGGCACTTTACCAACTGAGCTCTCTCTCCAGGTGCCCCCCTCCATTTGTACCTTTTAGTTAATAATTAAACACAGGGAAGGTTGGGTGGAAGAGAAATAAGGTGTTGTTTACTGGCCCGGATCTCAGCATTTGCAAAACGAGGACAAGTCTGGCAGTGATGCAAAGCGTTCTGAGTGTAGTTAACACTACTAAACGGTACCCCCAGAAATGAAAAGATGGAGGTGGGAGCGAGCTCAGTCATAATGTGTGAGGCCCTAAATTTTATCCTCAGCACCCCCAAAAAATTAAAAAAAGAAAAAAAGATGCAGTTATCAACATTAACATTTAAAATATTTTCTAATTTTATTTATTTATTTACTTATTTAGCCCAAACTGGCCTGAAACTGAATATGTAGTTGGCCTTAAACTTGTGGCAATCCTCCTGCCTTAGACTATGAATACTGGGATTACAGGCATAAGCCACCTACCCAGATTTTCCAAATTATTCTGGTACAGTTTTTATTTCTGTGTTGATTAAAGGTAGCATTGAAATGTAACCTCTGGAAAGTATTTGTTTTGAGTGTTATATTACCTGTTAATATTATTAAACTATCAAGTATGTAGTGTCTATAGTCCTATACAGTAGTAGAGGAATAATTTTGACATCTTCCAAGGACATTTGAATATAACATTTATTCTCTATTAGAAAAATACACGTTTGGACCATAACCATATGTAAAGCTGTTTGATTTTTAAAAAATAGATTAGGGAATGTAGCTTGGGGTAGAGCCCAGCATGTATTCTATCCCTAGCACCTCAAAAACTGAAAATAGAAAGATAAAATGGGGCTGGGATGTAGCTCAGTAGTAGAGGCCCCTGTTACAATCACTGACAATGCTGAAAATAAATGTAACAAAATGGGCTAGGCCGGTGCGCTATTTCACATACTCTGGTGTCTGCTAGAATGCTGTCAGACATTCCACCTGCCAACTGTATGAGGACCCCGAGGAAGGGGTCCCTTCATTCTGTAGGTATTGGCCAGCCCCCCCCCTCCCCGGCAGTTCTCGGTTTACTTGCCTTCTGAATGTAATAATGAGGTACCTTCTCAGAGGACTCAAGTGGACGAGTGAATTTTTATATAGTTGCAACTAAACTAACTCTCCATTTTTTCACATTTATTTATTTACTTGTGTGTGTGTGTGCGTGTGCACTTGTGTGTATGTGTGGTACAGGTTGCCATGGCGTGCATGTGGAAGTTAAAGGATTACTCGTGAAAGTCCATTCTCTTTCCACTGGGTGGGTTCCAAGGATTAACCTCAGGTCATCAGGCTTGGTGGCAAGTGCTTTTATTCACTGAGCCATCTTGCTGACCTGCAGTTAAACTAACTCTTTAAAAAAGAAAGGCTAGGGGGCTTTGAAAGATTTTGGAGGGGGGAAAGTAATCTAGAGAGGTAAAAATCCATGGGTGATTTAAGTGCAGTCGTCAAGAAGTAGGGCAGACTGACAGTCCTTCATTGTAAGCTCATTATTGGCCATGTGACAGGGGAAGACTAGAGATCTAATCAGATGTGGCAAATCCGACGATATTTTCAAACAGCCAGAAGACTACTTAAAATGTAGAGTTCAAAGCTGGGTATGATGATACATACACATAATTCTAGCACTTAGGAAGTGGAAAGGTCAGGAGTTCAAGGCCAGCCTCAGTTACAGCTTGTGTTACATGAGACCCTGATTTAAAAATAAATAAATAAATAAAAATTTAAAAAATGAAAAGAAATATGAAATTCTTTTTTTTTTTTCAAGACAGGGTTTCTCTGGGTAGTTTTGGTGACTATTCTGAATCTCACTCTGTAGACCAGGCTGGCCTTGAACTCACAGAGATTCACCTGGCTCTGTCTCCCAAGTGCTGGGATTAAAGGCGTGTGCCACCACTGCCCGTGAAATATGAAATTCTTAACCATTCTTACCCTAAATATATTTAGGAGTAGTCTTTAACTATTTATTTATTTATTTATTTATTTATTTATTTATTTATTTAATTTATTTATTTTTAGTAACAGGGACTAGAAACCACTGACCCAGTCAAAACCTCTCCAAACACTTTTGACTCAATATCTTAAATGAGACTAAAAGTGAAGCATTTTGAGAAAGCAGCCTTCTTAACTAAGTTTCAACCCCAAAATCTTTGTGTTCAAGGTCCTGTGGAAGATGATTAGACAAGAAAATGTAAAGGTTCCTCCAACTTCTCCCATCTAAACTACTCTCCAGAAAATGTGACATACCGAAGGAAGTGACTCACTAATTGCACATATGTATTGTTGCAATTTTTATAGCCCAGATGCGCTTAAAAAACAGACAGCTTTCAGTGACGGTACCTGCTTTTCTTCTTTGCATTTCCTCAAGGTTTTCATCAGTTTTGCGTGCTCCTCCTCTCTCTTTTCCATCATGATTTTCATCTGCTTAATGCCAATCAAAGCCTTCTTCACCTCTCCTCCTATATCTGTCTCCCCCACCTCCAAAAGACCTAGAAGACACGTTTGGCGTTTCTTTTAACGTGATTAGAAAACAGTAACGTCACCAGTGTTTGGTACCCTCTAAATAGCAGCTTGATTGTTCTTGCACAACCTTTCAATCTAGAGCACTTCATGATGAATTAGCTATCAGCTGCCGCTTTGACTCGCCTTCTGTCTCTTACATGGGAGCTCCTGGACAAACCTGAGCTTATTGATCTTAGTCTTGCCATTTTCCAGAAGCCCTGTTTTCCTTTATCCACTTTTTTTTTCTATCACTGGAGACTCAGGTATGGTTATATTAGAGAAAAATCTGATTTTTTTTTTACAGTTTATATGAAACACTCAGCAGAAGACTTCAAACACAGTGAACAGTTTCCCCTTTTCAGTTTTAATTACCTTCCAAGAAGCCGTCAGACTAAGAATGTATGCCATATAACACATACATAGTAACTTAACGGAAGTCTCTTTTGCACCATTAACTGTCCCTTTGTGGGTATAAAGTCACTGTCATTCTATCTTCTCTTTAGCCAGTGTAGCATCCTGATGATGTTTTTCTTACCTCTGAATTTAATTGCAGACTCCAAATGAGCTCCATTTTAGCTAATTTATTTTACTAAATGTTAAATGCCCCAAATCTGTATCACCAAACAAAGTTAATGGGCACAGAACAAGATTCACTGTCATGACAGCATACACTTTGACTAATATAAAAATAATTACAGAGATTACTCTAGTAGTTTAAATTTTTTAGAAGCCAGGAAAACATTTTGCTGTTCATTGAAGATATGTGAAGAGGACATCAAACATTTGGATAATACAAAAGAAAATGCAGGCAAAAATTTGGCAAGCTTTCTCTGCATGATTGCAAACATCTGGATTTGTGAATGTTGGCTCATGGAGATTTATTGGAATTTTCTATTTTTATCCAAATTTTTTGACACCATGAGGACTTGGATTAAGTGCCCAGAGAACATTTCACTATGAAATGTAATGGATACAGTTATCTCTGAACTGCAAATCCCTGTAAACACCAGCAGGGCACGCAAACAAGCAAACAGGGCATACTATTCAGGTTTCCATCCGTAGCAGCTGCGTCCTTCCAAGTAGGTGCACTGTGGCAACATTTCAACCACAGCAGATGCACAGAAAGCACCAAGAGGGGTGGCTTCATGGTCCAGTGTTCCTGTGAAGGGAAAATCAAGCTGCTTTAATGCCTTCCTTGAAGCTACCCTCTTGCATAGCAATTGAAAACACATGGTGCTCCTAAGCACTTCTCTGTCAGTTTCTCTTTATGACTTTAGATAATTCATACTAAAATGCCTGGCATATTAAGAAGCATAAACTATGAGTTCAAAAGCCAAACCAACTGTATTTAGTCTATTTTTGTTTACATTCTTCTTGACAATTAACTGTGTACTACCATGTCCAGCTTGATGAACATAGACACTGGGGCATGGTTGAAAGTTCCATGTCTACCTGGACCACATAGCAAGACCCTGCCTCAATAAGCACATCAATGGTAATGTCATCTGCTGCAGTACTTGAAAGCCAAGCCAATGAATAATATGGATCATAGAGCTGTAGAGATGAAACTTCATTCGATTTTTTTATCAACAGTAAACGTGTCCAAAGGCAATCTTAAAGTTTGCCAGGAAGACTTTCTATGTCCAAAATTCTCAGCCTTCCTACCTCCATTTCTAGTACGCTGGGATTGCAGACAATGCTGGAGTATTCTCATACTTCTTACAAAACCTATCATCATATATGATATGTAGTTACATTTTTCTGAGATTAATGACTCTCTTTTCAATGTAATTTGATTTACATTAGTTATAAATATCCTAAAAATAATTTAAACTTTATCAAGACAGGGTTCCTCTGTGTAGCCCTGGCTTCCTGGAACTCCCTCTGGCCTCCCTCTGGCCTCAAGCTCACAGAGACCTACCTGCCTCTGCCTCCTGAGTGCCAGGATTAAAGGTATACACCACCACTGCCTGGCACAACTGCATATTTTAATGAAATTAAACCTGTAAAACATGGCACATTATCTTAATTTCCCACAAAAGGGATCAAAAGGGATGTTTATCTACTTTATGCATATCTGTTACATTAAAACTTCACTAATCCACATTTGAATCTTTTTCACATACTAATAAAACAGCAGCTATATTATTAATAATATAGTGGCCACATTTTATATGACATTTGAACTGTTTTCTTTCTGCCCATGCCCCACTTAAACGAAACTTGGAATACTGTAATATTTACCATTGATATTGCAGCTCTCTCCAGAGAAATTGCCATTAACTTCTGGAAGGGCCTCCACTTTTCTCTGATGTGGCTTTCATCTGTGTCAGAGATTTAGCTGTGTTCTGTTCGTCTGATGACACAGTTCTTAATCCTATTAAACAGATCTTTTGAGATTAAGGCTGTTTAAAATTTGGTAGTACCTAAAATGAAACACTAGAGGGCAGGCTAAGCACATCATCAGCAACAATGACCTTAGTACTTGACATAAATGTTTGTGTTTTGTTTTTTGAGACAGTCTCACTAGGTAGCCTTGGCTATCCTGGAACTCCCAATGTGGACTAGGCTGGCCTCAGACTCACAGAGATTGACCAGGCTCTGCCTCTACAGTGCTGAGATTAAATGCATTGTGCCATCATGACAGGTAACAGATATGGTTTTATTGTTTGACATTTTTTTAAGCCAGAGTCTCCTTGAAATCACAGGTAGGCAGAGATGACCTTGAATTCTGATTCCTCTCAACTCTCCATCTCCCATCTCCCAAGTGCAGGGATTACAGGCCTGAGCCACTGTGTGGTCTGGTTGCTTACCTTGTTTGTTATTTGGACTATAAAGTGGTAAAAATTCTCAAGACTAAAGAAAAAAATATGTTTTATTCTTTTTAAAGTGACATAGTTCAATAGTCACATAACTAACACTACAGACACATATAGACACATGTACATATGGTATATGTGTTTTTGTGTGAATGTGGATGTTAGACGGGAGGCCAATGTTTTTTCTCAATTACTCTCCACTTTATTTTTGAGTCAGGGTCTCTCACTGAGGAAATTATATCTCAGGTAACTTTTATGATGTTCATCATAAAGCTGAACCTAACCTTTTTAGGCCAGTATGACAAAAATGTAATTATTCATAAGTGTATCAATATATCAAAATATTTTTTAAAAATTTCCACTGCACTCAGCAGAGCCTCTAACCAATTCAGCTCTTGTTATAGGTTGTTCAGTAAACTTTTGTCATGTTCCAATATTACCATAAGATGGGTGCTGCTCTTACACGCCCATGCTGTGGTGATATTGTGTCCCCCAATATATTGTGCACCCTAATAATCTTATATGGGGTCAGAGAACAGAACAGCCACTAGATTAGACATGTCTCAGAACAAAATGACAGTATGGTCCCAGTGTCTAACAAATATTAAGAACTTCAAGATGGCAGTAACAGAGCGTGGAGGGAAGGATGCAAGAGGCAGGTCCTTGAAGCTGGTCTTGCTTGAGAGGCAGTGAGTGCCTCTTCCAAGGCCTAGGAACAACATCACTTTTAGAAAGAAGTTTTTTTTAAGAAATGTGGGAATAAAGTTTAGAAACAGATCCAGGACACAAATTGGACCAATGTTCAGAGTTTAGTGAAAGAAGGGTGGGTGGAATTCGGTGAAGGGACAGACAGATGCACATGGAATGGCAGTTCAGGGTGAGAAGGAGCACTCGATCACAGAGCATGAGGCTACCCCTGGGCTCCTCCCCAGACGCATGACCTAGTGCAGCATCAGTGGCTGCATGTTCTGTTCCACTTGAATCCTGGGATGCAGTTAGTCTGAGACATCAAAGAGGGCTTCACCCTGCTGCCTGTGCATTTTGCTTTGGTTCAGTTTCATTGTTCATTTCACTTCATTTTTTGTTCATAGAATGGGAGCCAAGGCAGTGGGGGAGGAGTTATCTGACAGTGGATCATGTAACCAGAATGATCAGCTGGTTAGGGGTTAGGAGTTAGGGTTAGGCCTAGACCACCATGAAAATGTAGCTAGCCTTCTTTATTGGTAAGGAGTAAAACTTAGTAATCTGAATTATCCCATACCTAGCACCCTTCTGCTTTTTCAGTCACATTTGGCTTCTTTTTATTTTGTCTGCCATCTGCCCTTAGTTTCACTCATGTCCACTCTTCCTCTCACCAGTCTTCAATCCGCTCTTCATACTACTACACAATGTCACAACAGCCATCAGCTCTGAGCACTTTCCTTTTCCAGCAATACATACCAGAAGCCCCCACCCTTCTGAAATACTTTCATTGCTGGCTTTTAAATATTCCTGAGGCTTTCTAGGGATAATTGCTAGTGGTCACATGTTACCTTACTCTGCCTCTTTCTCACTCATCCTTAAATTTCCACCTCTTATTCTGTGAGTCAATGCAAAAATGATTTTCTTTTTCTTCTCTGGACTCTTCTTAAGAGTAACAGACACAACCCATGAAATATGTCTTAGTGGTAAACCCGATTTAGTAAAATTATTTCTGAGAGCTAAGGAAATAGCACATACCATAAAAGGAACTAGTAAGTTAATGTGGCTTTACTAATAACCAGATGACTCATATGTTAAAATGTCATGTGAAGAGAATACACACAGGGCTATAAATAGTTAAGAGCTAGTACCTTTTAGGGAGGACTCAAATTCAGTTCCCAGCTCACAACCTCCTATAACTCCAGCCACAGGGGATCTGATACCTCTGGCCTCCAGGCACCTACACACACACATTAAATAAAATCCTTTAAAAAAAAACCTATAAGAGCATGTAAATAAACTCTCTATCAGTAAGAACCCACAAGCAATTTCCTAGAGTTCAGACATAGACAGTAATCATCTAAGAGATCTTCATGGGTAATGTGAGAAAAAGAACGGTCTTTATTACATACTCAGGCTATTTGGTTCCTTTTCCTGTTCATATAGCCAGTTCTATACACATGTACACTCACATGTGCATGTATAAGCATAGCGTCTTCATCTTAAGAGTCTTTAACATGGTAGGGATTGACATATATTCATTGAAACTAAGTTCAGAAGCAGTGAGTGGAAATCAGTTGTAGTAAATTTACATCATGCTTTTTTTTAATGTCAGAATTCCGTTCAACTGCAACTGACTTCTCTCCCCACAGTCTATATGCAAGAGTGCTCCACTTATGGACTGCTTTCTCTGCAGCCTGCCACTAGGTGTCATCAGCATCATGTGCTATGGAATCTACGTCGTTGACACAGATGGAGGGTATATAGAAGAGCGTATGAAGTACCCAAAAGGGAGAGGGAAAACCAGGACCAGATAGAAGAGAGCAAAGAGCAGGAGTCCATTCGTGGAAGATCTCTAGTGCCTACTGTGCAAGAGCCTAAGGATGTATTAGAAAAGAAGAAAGACGGAGACTTCAGAGGTAAGAAATATTTGAGAGGATTTCAGATTATTAAAGAGTATTTATTGAATTTAGAGATTTGATCATGATCTGTTTACAGAAGAGAACATGTCATTTATATTTTCCTAGTAACAACTGCATGCATTCAAGTAATCCTTCCATAAGTGGGAAGATGCTCGGTGCAAAGAAATGAAGAGTTGTCTAAAACCAAGCCAAATCGTTGTATCAGTTTACTTTACAGATTTCCATTCTGTGCACACTCCTCTGTGTGCATGTTCTATGACAAAGTTAAAAAACTTGGACAAAATATTAGCTCAACCATTGGGATGGAAGATGTGTGGTTTTGTAGAGCGAAATAGTATTTTCACCTAATATATCAATTCTCCCATATTTGGGATAAAATTTATATAAACAAATTAAATCTTTAAAAATTTAGACATTTTAAGAGACACTAGTAACTTTTCCCATGTATCAAATTTCAGATTCTGAGTTTAAAAATAAAGCGGTCTTTTATATAGCATAGTAATTTTATTTTACTATTGATTTTTAAGGAAAATGGTACTTTTTTACTTATACTCAGTTGCATTATTATGATATTAGCTTATGGTCCCATGAAGTGGGGGAAGAATCTTGTCATTGAGCTTGACAAAATGACCAGGGTATGGGGAGTGGTGACTTCAGCACCTACCCTGTGCTGTTCAGCGGGGCACACTGCCCGTCACTGTAGGAAGGAGAGGCCTTCTTAGTACACCTTGCCTTTAGCCAAGCAGCCTAGTGTTTTGCTCTGTTTAATTTTTTATTTTATAGCTTGACATTACTTCTAAAATTTCTATTAATTAAGAATGTTTTCAGAAGTAATATAAACCATTTTTATGATATATGAACTAATAACTTAAAATTTACTGCCACGCTTCTATTGTGGGAGGCCATGACATAGTTAGCATGTTAAACTCAGATGTCATGAACAGATGGTGAGGTCTGCAAACCACTTGCACATATTTAAATATTATTTATGTGCATAATTATATATGCATATATAAATTGCATATATATAATTGCACATATTTAAATATTATTTATGTGCATAATTATATATATATAAATTATAACATAAAAATATTTAATATTTTTCATCACATTCTCTTCTCTAGCCTCTCAGCTTTGCCTCCATGGTAGTCGTGACCTCTTATCATTCACCAGAATGTAGCCATGTCTAAGAGTGTTTATTTTGTGATAACATGTTTATTATACATTAATTTGTTAATTTTGAGGTCTTTGTTTTAGCTAATTTCAGAATTTCTATAGGTAATGTTTAGGTGGCTGTTGTTTGAGTAGTTTAGGGTTTATTGAAAGGATCCACCGAGCATTTGCAAACATGGTTTGCACTTTTAACACTGATGTTACTTAGGCTTCTGCTTTCTGGTCAGTATGAATCAGCACTGAACTGAAACTGAGTCTGTAGAGCCAGGGAATTGTTAGCCATAGTTTGTTTTCAGGTGTGCTTTTTCATATTTAAAAAGCATCCATTTCTAATATTTAAGCACCCATAATGAATTTTGTTGATAATTTTGTTGATAAATATGTAGTCACAGGGAATTTCAGAAAATAAAAGAATATTTTCAAATGGAAATAGAGATGAGCACTGTTAATAGTTGCCGTGACAAGTAACCTCCTCCAAAGAATAAAGAAGACTCTTTGGGAATGTTCATGATAGTTGTCCCAATGGTCAAGTCTTTTTTTGCAGGAGAAAAGACCTGAGGTACATATAGATGCCTCATTTATGATACTGTATGGTAAGGAGACAGACATGAGGACATAGGAAGTACGACTAATATATTTTAATATTTTTCATCACTATCAAATATTATGTGCATTTTGTCTTATCAATCAAAACTTGTAAGTAAGTTCTCAGCAGGTAAAAAGGTAAAGCACAGCTTTGCATCAGTAAACAGAAGAGCAGAGGTAGTTTTCCTGTACTCGGCAATGCTTTGGTTCTCTGCTGTAAAAACAACTGTATACTGATCCTCATTCTATTCATACTTTTAAAATGTGTTCATTGGGAAAAACAAAATGTGCAAGTGGTTTGCAAGTGAATAGTTTTATTTCTTTTTGTATTAAACTATTTTTTACTTATTCTTGAGGATATTTTTTATTTGCATTGTCAGGTTGCTCACATAGCAAAATTTAAAATTTGTTCACTCATGTGCTTTTCTCTTTGATGTGTTATCATTCTAAATACTGTTTGCTTATCAGGAGAGTATACTGTAAAATCAAGGCAGCTCTCTTCAAAAGACTGATCCTTTAAATCAATGATAAGTCCCATGGTTAAATACCAACAACAGAATCCTTTCAGGAAATTGGAACTCCATCATTTCCTTCATGTGTAAAGTTCAAAAATTTAGCTCTTTGGTGCTCAAACAACATTTCAGAGTATTCTAGAGATTGTTCATGCTTGGTCCAGCATCCTCAGTACCTCTTTCTGAAATCCTTCATTGGGTACATAGATATTTTCGTACCTTCTATTGTTTGAAGCTTGTTTGAGGATTATTAGATATACCGGTTTTGTTTTCTTCCCCACTCAAAGGACTCCTGAAGCCTGGTTTAGAAATGTCAGATGAGTAAAGATGGTGGAAAGGACTCTTGAAGAGCCGCAGCAATTTTGTTTGTTTCTGTTTAGTCAATTTTGTTGCCCATGTTGATTCTAATATTTTGACTTGGTAGCTCCTGATTTTAAAATAATATTTTCATCAGTATTTCATGATAAAATAGACAGGGAAAAAACTCTCAGCTATTCTTATGCAAAAATTATTAAGCTAGTGTGAGATGTTAAGACTTAAGTGGAGGGGCTGAGTTTGCCATCGTATTTTTACAAATACATATTGTTTTCTGAATGTGTCTAAGTCCCAAGAATGAGCAAAATAACAATAATATTCTAGTTTGAACCAAGATATAAAGGTTTTTGAAAGTCTGTATTACTACTAACTTGTTGAATTGTGACACTTTGCCTTATGCATCGATTGCAAACCTTTGTTTTTCTAAAATAATCAAAAACATGATTACATAATTGCTACCTTTAATATGTGTTTTTCAGAAGTTTACCAGATGACTAATTCTCTAAACAAAAGCAGAAGCTACAACTAATATTCCACACAATATTTTCCTTTTTTAAAAACAGTTTATTAACAGTTGCAAAAGCACAATTTTCGATTTTAAGCAAGCTTGGAAGTGAATTATAGCTTAATTCCTTAGAGACTAAATCCCTAATACACATAGTCTAGTGTATTTTTGTTTTATAAAGCCTAATATTTTGTAAGTATTTTTTCCAATACTTCAACTTTTCTACAAAATTTAAAGTTAGAGCTGGGTTTGAATTTTGAATTACTAAATTATGATCCTGGACACAATACTATCCTCACCTCTCATTTTCATTATCAATGAACAGGGGATTTAAAGCCTTTGGAGTAGTCGCGGGGGGAAATGTTTGTATTGGAGTTTTAATTATTTTGACATTGAATGGAAAGCATGGGGGGTTGGGGATTTAGCTCAGTGGTAAAGCGCTTGCCTAGCAAGCACAAGGCCCTGGGTTCAGCCCTCAGCTCCAGAAAATTAAAAAAACAAAAACAAACAAACAAACAAACAAAAAAAACAGAAAGCACGTATGATAAAAACATAAAGTTTATGCAAAGTTAATTTTTAAATTCCTTGTATCAAAGGGATGTGTTTTCTCATGCGGTGATGAGAACAGGAATAACAAGTGAGTACAGAACATGAACTTGCACTGATTTGCAGGTTATGAGCGGAGACAGCATACTGAGCTATGTGTGAGGGAGGTGCCCTGTGTCGGGATGAGTATGGGACGCTGGTCTCACTTCATGGTTCTTTTTCTTGCTCCTCCCTTGTGAAATTAGGATTGACCTCTCCCACTTCTGAATTACCTGTGATTTGAGAATAATGCCACCCATCTCTAGATTAAGAAGGTTAAATGGACCTGTGACTGGCATATAGCTACAGCTCATTAACTGACATTTAATGTTTAAATTTTATTGACTTCTCAATTTATTTAGAATTCTATCACTGATGGAGAAAAACAATTCACATTGTAATGTGAAGACTTGATATTCTTAATTTTTTTGGCTAGTTTACTGCAATTTTTGAATTCTAGCATTTTATATAGTGATGAAAAATATTTCAATATGGCAACTAAAGTTAAAAACAGGTATTTAGGTTTAGTCACCTGTGAAAATCCTCTGGCTTTTGTACTTTTTAGATGAAAATGATCACACACAAGAAGGTGTAACTAGCCAGTAAGGTTATTGATTAATATGTATATGTGTCTTACTTAGATTTCTGCATGATTTAGGCAGAGTTAGATGTAGGTGTGTCACTGGAGGTGGGTTTTGAGGTTTCAAAGGCTGCCTGTGGATCAAGATGTAGCTCTGAGATGCTTCTCTAACAGCATGCCTGCCTGCCTGCTACCATGTTCCCCATCATCATGATGATGTCTTCTGAAGCTGTAAGCAAGTCCCTGATGAAATGTTTTGTAAGAATAGAGTTGGTTGTGGTGTTTCATCACAGTAATGATAACCCTGACTGAGACAGTCTTGTTCTGCCTCTACCTGGAAGACTACTTCTGACTGGTGAGCTGGGGAAGCAGATTGAGAACAGAGCTGATTTCCACACTGGAATGCAAGCACTTGGTGTGTGTGTGTGTGTGTGTGTGTGTGTGTGTGTGTGTGTGTGTGTGTGTGTGTGTGTGTAACATGATATTTGAATTGCTTTGGAAGAAAACTTGCTGAAATGGTGTTTTCCTGCCTTTTTGGAACAGTAAGATAATTAATAGTTTGCTATATCAGAGTGGATGGAAACAAGTAATCTAAATTGGAGTGGGGATTAATGTCAAAAGTAAGTGGGGGCCGGAGAGGTGGCCCTGTGAGTAAGAGCACTGACCATTCTTGCAGAATATCCAGGTTCAGTTCCCAACACTCACATGGTTGCTCACATTTTGTAGCTCCAGTTCCAGGGGGTCTAACGCTCTCTTCTAGTTTCTGCAGGTCCTGCACACATGTGGTACACAGAGATACATGAAAGTAGACGCTTATATACATTAAATAAAAATAAATACTTTTTAAAATGTGACTTTTGCTTATCAAAACAATTGCAACAAAATGTTTTACACTTTGGTTGCTATGAGGCAAAAATATAAAATACAAAGCAAATGTTACAGGATAGTTCTTCCAGCAAAGGTGTGATTGTACATGTCTGTCATCCCAGAATTCAGGATGCTGTGGCAGGAGGATCATGAGTTTGGAGCCAGCCCAGTATATGTTGTGAGACTCTGGATCAAAATGAAAAAGAAGGGTTGATTTCCAAAGTACTGAAATTATGATTTAAGTCAAATGTGTAACACGCTTGCAAAAATCTCAGTACTTGAGAGGTTGAGGGAGGAAGATCATGAATTCAAGGACAACCTGTACTACATGGGAAAGGGCTAGAAGAAAATTTTAAGACACATATTTGCTATATTTATTCATTGTGTGTGTGTGTGTGTGTGTGTGTGTGTGTGTGTGTGTGTGTGTCTGTGTCTGCCCATATGGAGGCCAGAGGATACTTTTCATGAGTCAGTTCTTTCTTTCCATTGTGTAGGGCCTGGAAGTCAAACTCAAATTGATATGCTTGGGTGACAGTACCCTTATGTGATGAGCCATCTCCCTGACTCGATTACCTATTCTGTGTGTGTCAGAACAGGCTGATAGCAATGCTTAGTTTTGTTTTTGGTGGTGGTAGAGTCTCACTGTGTAAGATTGGCTGACCTGGAACTAGCTGTGTCGTCTAGTTTGGCCTTGAATTCAGAAATGTGGCTGCTTCTGCCTCCTGACTACTGGTCTCAAAGGTGTGCACCAACTCAGTCACCTTCATCATCACACTGTTTGGGAACATACTATGGAGACCGACTTGGTGAAGTTAAATTGAGTGAAGCATTTACCTAACCCCAAATTTAAGATGTCCATGTGCAAGCTCAGACCTGCCTGGATTAAAATATCTTTCCTTCTAGTGCTGTCTGTCTGACTTGCTTGCCCTTGTATTTTTAGTGTGGATACAGTATGTGCTTATGAGACTTTTATACAGCTGTTGATCTCCATCAGTGACATAAGTTAGCAGGGCAGAGGCCAGTGAACCTTTTGATAACATCTACTTGGGGCACTCTGGGAACAACAGATAAAGGGATCTAGAAGGGAAAGAAGATACCCAGCGTACAAAACTTGACTGAAAATTCCTTTAAAATGGTTTATGTTGGGTTGGAAACACAGCTCAGTGGTACAGTGTTGGGAGGCCTTGCTGGTTAAAGGTTGCAGCCCACCATGTCAGGATAGCCCTTCTGATTTCAGGGCAAGAGACCCAGCATGGGTTTCCTGCTCTCTGCCTGACCTTATTTGGAAACTGTCCCTGAGACTGGATACCTGACTTAACTTAGTGGAGACCTTTGACACAGTTCCCTGCAAACGCTCTCCCCCTGCTGCCACATATGGTAACTATACGATAGGGCTGCGCTGCCACGTAGGATAACTAGACATGGTGCTCCAGCCTTATGATAGGAGCATGCTGCCAAATGCAAATTAGGTGATGCCCCATCCACTCTCCTTATCCTTCATATCTCTTCTCACTCTGGAATAAAGTTGAGCTGGAACACTGAATCAGTCTCCCGGAAGGCTATTTGTGTTGTGCTCACAGGCCAGACAAAGCCCCACTGGCTGCCTCTGATCCCTTTGTCCTCGTGGCCTGGTGGGCAACAGACCACAAGGAAGAGAGAGACTCCACAGATCATTTCTTGCGTAACATTGATTAGCCCCCGGGCTACACCTCCAGTACTCTAAAAATAATTACTAAAATAATCAAGGGTTTTGTATTGATTTTTACATTTTACAGTCAGATCTTTCCATTTTGATGTACAGGTGTATGATTATTGGCAAATGTGAATAGTTGTGTTAGCACTGCCTCCTTCAATCTGTAGAATCAATTGAGCATGATAGTGTACACCCGTTATACCAGCACTTTGGACATAGAAGCAGGAGCTCCAGGCCAGCCTGGGCTACATAAGACTTGTATTTAGAAAACAATAAAACTAAAAAGATAGAGAACAGATCCAGCACCCCCAAACATAGTGATGTGCTAGCCAGTACTTCCTTGTCTCCCACAGCCCTTGACCTCACTGTTTTTTCTCTATCCATGGACTTTGCTTGTCTCAAATGTCACATGGATGGAATTATATAATATGTTGGCTATAACTTCTTTGACAATGCTCAGTTAATTTGAGATTTGTCAGGTACACGAGTTAGCAGTTTTTTCCTTTGAATTGTTGAGTAGATTTCAGACCCCTGCATGGTAGAGAGAGGGATTCACCACGAAGCTTCTCTATGTGAGAACCAGATGGGAGTTATCATAAGCCATGGGCCATGTGACTTGCAAGAGATTGTAGCCTCTGAAATGGGGCCCTCATCTATATGAGCACTATGGCTACCTACCTAATGTCCATCACCAGTCACATAGAGCAAAAGTGTCTTACTGCCTTGTTAGAATTGTCTTTCTATTGACTTGCCTTTTCCTTGCCCTGTTCCTATTTCTTTCTAGTTGAGCTCTAGTATAGTATACCACTCTCTTTAGTATAGAATCATTTCTTGCATCTCTACTTGTGTTTTATTTCACCTATGGCTTCTTTATATAAATCAGTTCTCAATTGTATAAATATAGCAACACTTTTTTTTTCAGAGTGTAAGATCAAACTTTATTGTGCCAAGAGAACATACATGACAAATTCAGAAACTTAGCAACCAGTATACTGCAGATAGGAATGTTAATCACACAAGGTTGTCTCTTCAAAGGAAGAGATGTTTGACCTGTTTTCTGGAAGACTGGGAATGAAGGTGATTAATAGCCTAGGTGACCTCTGCACTATCTGTGGGGCCAGGCCACATCTGGCCCCACAAGACACCTACAAACAGGAACAGAGGTGTTTAATAATGTAGTGGCCTTTGTGCTGTCTACATGACTAAGACCACATGATCTCCCCCAGGCTCTTAAGATAACACATGTAGTCTATCTATAGAACTTTTCAGAGTTTCTATTTAATTATACCTTAAGCTTTATTGTGCACATGGGATTATGTTACACCAGGAAACTTTTTTTTTTCCAAATTGTACTGTACTTAAATATGCCTAAAATAGACTTCCCACTGTTAGACTCTGGAAGTTTGAACCAACACTGGCTACTGAGACGTGTAGAACCAGACTTCCTTTTTTCCTCACACAGATCAACACTTTGCTGGCCATGATGTTTGTAGAGACCCTGCATGAAACTAACACCCACACCTGGATGAATACTATCCTTTCCCGTGTGTGTGTGTGTGTGTGTGTGTGTGTGTGTGTGTGTGTGTGTGTAAGGGGCTGTCTATCTTCCTTAATACCTGTGCTAAAGTCTATGTTAAAGTCTTTTAAAGTAAACTGTAAGTGTGGTTTATACTGACCCATCTAAAAAGTCTTTCCTGTGGCAAAGTCAAGGGCCCCAGCTCCATCTAAGTAGAGATCTCTGAAAAGAACTCCTCAGGCTGCTTAAGGTGGCAGCATTGGACGTTGTCTCCAGCTCCCACTCCTATTCTATATAGTATGGAGGATCTTAGCTGGAAATTAAGACAGCAATATCTAAAATGCTGAGGAGAGAGCTGGGCTTGGTGGCACACACCTTACCTCCTGGCACTTAGGAAACAGAGATAGGTGTCATGACTGTGGAAAATGCTTCAGTCAAAGCTCTCATCTTTTCTCACATCAAAGGACCCACACTGGAGAGAAACCGTATGAATGTACTGATTGTGGAAAGTCCTTCTGCCAGTGTTATGCCCTCATTGTAAATCAACGAATTCTTACTTGAGAGGAACCATATGAATGTTGCCAGTTTGGGAAGGCCTTTATTGGGAAGAATGATCTCATTAAGCACCAGTGAGTTCACACTGGACAGGAGGCTTGTAAGTTTCGACAGAGTGACATTATCTTCAGCCAGCACTCTCCATGTACGATCCATCAGATAGCTCAAACTGAGAACAGCTCTTCCGATGGCACCAGTGTGGGGCAGAACTGCTAACCAGGCAAATCATGCCAGAGAAAACTCCTACTAATGCAATACAGAGCACCCTTCACCATGAGATGAATGGCTGAAGAGAAGCTGTGCAAATTAGATCGTGTAGAAATACTTCTAATCTTATCAGCACTCTGTTGCATTCCATAGCCTGGGTCCTGGATGGGGGGAAAAACAAACAAATTTCATTCCAATATACAAATCAGGTTTTGTTGTTTGTAAAATTCCTACTAAATGCATTATCCTGGGAGCATTCTTGACCAAGCCTTAGAACTAAGAAGGCTTAAAGAAGTTGAGAAATGATACAGCTTCATTATTCCCTTCAGAAACAAATAAATGAGTGAAGAGTTGTTTCTGATAATAAAAAATAAATTAACAATTATTGCACCAAGTGATGGGAAGTAATATTCCAGCAAGTTTGTATGCCATTGTTGACTTAGTTTTACTTGTCTTCTGGAACACTTAACAGAGTTTAGTATGTTTTATACATCTTACATTAACATTTTGGCTAGTAACAAGTAGAATGCCTATAATGCAAAACAAAAAAAAACATATTTTACACTGCCAGTAATCCATTTGAAATATACTTGCCTATGTTCAAACATTGAGCAGAAAGAATAGAAAGTATCTATAAGGACAAAAACTTATTTGTTAGATGATAATATTTTGAGTGTGGGTTTTATTTTGTGTGATGCTAGAGATTGAATCCAGAGGCTTGAGCATGCTAGACAAACTATCATTGAGCCATATCCCTAGCATGAGTGAGTTTCATTGAAATAACTTAAGGTATAAAAATTCAAAATGCTACCTTAGTCTCTATTCTGAAGCATGAGGATTACCTACTTGCAAACCTTACTGTCAATTCTAAGTTAATTGAGGTTTTGATTTGATTAAGATTATTCTTAAGACGTGGTAGTAACAACTTCTGAAAAATTAGACATAAAACCTCTCTGGATACAGAGACCTGAGTGAATGTTGGGCATCAGATACAGCAGAGAGTGTGCCTCTCCTCATGATTGAGAGCAAGTGTGCTCTGAGGTAAATACAGCTGTTTCCAGGAAATCTTCCTCTTTAAGAAAGTCCTTTATGAAGAAAATGTAATGATTAAGTGTAGTGACTTGTGTGTCTTCTCTGCGCCTAACAAATAGACTGTCTCCTCTATACATTAGAGCTGGTATAGTGTTTAACTTGAATGACCATGGTTAATCATAAATGAGTAAATACATATCTTAGAATACATATAGCAAGTGGGTAGAGCTGTAGGTTTTATTCTATCTATTAATTTATTTTAATACCTGGCCTGGAACATGTGACCCTCCTTCCTTAGCCTCCCAAGTTCTGGGATTACATGTATTTATCATCATGCCAGGCCTCAAAGTCCTTCATAATTATTACCCGTAATAACATTATTGCATCACTTTAGTGTCTCATTTAATTTGAACCTGCTGTGGTTTACTCACTCCACTTTCCTTTTACATAAATTAGAACTTTACCTGGAAATGACACTGACAAATAATATGTGTTCTGATTTCTGAGACCAGTTAACAACTTTTAATATTATATCCAAAACTGTTTCGTTTGTACAAAGCTCTTCCTTTCTAGGGAGGAAGTCCCAACCTTCAGATATTTTGGAAAGTCCATGACCCAAGAAAGATTCAGGATCTGCTTTAATTTTCTGTTTCATTCATTCTGTTTCATGATGTGTTCTGGGGGGTGGGCCGGCAAATGCTCTGGTCAGCAGAGGAACAATGTTTGAGAGGCAAGAAGGAAATCTGGTTCAATACGACTTAGCCGGTACTGGTTCATATTTCTAAAGTCAGACCCTGAGCAGTTTATTCTAAGCATATTTAAGCACAGTACAATTTGGAAAAAAAAATTCCTGGTGTAATACAATCCCCTGTACACCAAGGAGGCATAATTACATGGAAACTCAACTCAAAGTAAATGTCACTTCTTAGAAGAATATTGGTTCTACAGATAGGCTACACGTATTATCTTTTTTTTTTTCTTCTGGTTTTTGAGACAGGGTTTCTTTGTGTTGCCCTGGCTGCCCTGGAACTTGCTCTGTAGACCAGACTGACTGCAAACTCAGAGATCTAGAGATCCACCTGCCTCTGCTTCTGCCTCCCAAGTGCTGGGCTTAAAGGCATATGCTACCACTGCCCAGCTTACATATATTACCTTAAGGACCTAGGGAAGGATCTGGTGTGGTGTGGGAACTTGGGGGAGCTCTTGGCCATACAGATAATGCAAAGGTCACCTAGACTATTAGCCACCCCCATTCCTGTTTGTGGGAGCTTGGTATGGCCTCGCTCTAAGATCACCTGATTATTAGTCACTTCTATTCCAATGAGCCTTTTGGGTTTAAAAAAGGTGATAGATCTTTCTCCTTGAAAAGAGGACCCTGCATGTTTATCATTCCTGTTTTTGTGAGTGCAATAACCCATGTGCTTCCAACATGTACATCCTGTGTGTGTATTGTAAAAGTTGTCAAAAAATCAAAAATGAAGTTGTTTGTATCAATCCAAGCACAAGAATAAGCTGAGAGCTTAGGAAGGAAAAGTCCTTATGCATGTTTACCTGGTAGAAACAGTCACAAAAGACTGCTAGGCCCACAAGCTTGCAGAATGGCCACTGCAGAGTTGTATAAACAATCCATCTGCCCAGCAACTGTCTGTTCAACCCTGGATTGATTTTGTGGTCAAGAATTACTGTTTCAAAATACCCACTGTAACCCTTACTTTGCATTTAAAAATGTCCCCTGCTGGGAATATAGCTGAGTGTAAAACCATTGTCTGGCTGTGTGAGGTTGTAAGTTCAGTTCCTAGCACTACTATTAAAAAAAGTCCTCCGCGTCACCCTTGCTGAATATTCCCGTAGTTGCAATATAGAAGTTGATTTTTCTTCAGTTTTAATCTATTTCTTTCAGTCAACACCAGGTACTCACTGGCATTTGCCATTTTATACTATAGGAAATTTGGTGTTTGAGTTTCAGAATATGAAGTTCTTGGTATCTTGGGTATTGAGAGCTGCTGGTAGCAAAAGTCATGGAGTATATAGCAGTGACAACTAGAGTTCAGAAGGTCAACCCATCAGAACTAAGGGTTCTGTCAGAGGAAACCATCATGCAAGGCATTATGTAATTACTGCCTTTTGAATGAACTGGTTGTTTCTTATTGTAAACTTCTTGTGCAATAACAGTTATGATTCTCCCCATTTACTGTGCATTCCCATGTTATGTGTACAAGTAATCTCACAATTGCATCTCAATCTTATGGGCACACATAATTGTGGATAGTCTAGAAGATGGTTTATTATTTTTTTATTTTGCAATTTTTATGATTAGAAGCATACTAAAATATGATTCATATTAGATCTATTGTTCTGTGTGGACTGTAGACACTTAGAGGTCTTATTTTTCATCCTTAGCCACTGACAAGGTAAATATTGGCCAGACAAAGTGTCTTCATAGAACTTTCACAGAGTGGAAATGCAGATGCCTGGCCTTGTTAGATCAAAACCCTTCAGAAGAATTATAGCGAACCAGAAGTGATAGGGCAGGTGTCTGGCCTTGGTATATCTTAGTCCTTCAAGAGATCAATAGCACCTATGTTCCCCTAAGCTTCCTTCACCAGCACCTCCCCACTCTGATTCAAAAATCAATTAACACTTTGTATTTATTTCTACACCAGTTTAATACACCAGTTTTTAGGCTCAGTAGACTAATTATATATAGGTCCTGAGATTCAGGTGACTAACAGAAAAAGGCTGTTAACTGAATAACCATATCTGGATATTATTAATCACACAATAGTACACATTTTCTTTGCCTTTTCCATAAATCTCTCATTGGTTTAATTTCTTTCCTTGTAGCCTTTGTAGCTATCCCTTTAAGAGATAGCTGGAACTTTTTACAACCTACAGCTGTTGTCAATCACCAATTAAGCTTACCAAGTCTTTGCCAAGTGGGACTCTTATCAGAATACTTGTCCCTGAGAGTTGACTTTGTAGTTTTTACTAACAAGTTGTTAATGAATGTGTGTGTGTGCGTGTGTGTGTGTGTGTGTGTGTGTGTGTGTGTGTGTGTGTGTGTGTATGTTTGGGGGAGCAAAGAAAAAAAAAAGGAAAAGACCAAGATAGATATGAGAGAACAGCAAAAAAAGAATTGATGGAGAAGAACAAAGATGAGGACGAAGATGGAAAGAACTAGGTAGAATGATGAGAGACCAGCAGAAGGGATTGAGAGCAGGATGGACTGAGAGGAGCTAAGGAAGAGAGCAGAAAAGAAACTGTGTAGATAGAACTGACTTAGAAGTATTAAGTGAATGGACTAACAAGCTCAGTGTGCTTAGCTTCATTGACTATCCCTCAGATTAGAATCCTCAGCTGGTTGTCAGATTCTTCCACAGACCCTGGGAGCAAACAATATACACTGGACCTATTATTGTTTGCGAGTTACTTGGGAAAATCTAGAAATGATGGTTAGAATCACACTTGAGAACTACAAAGAACAGGACATTGTTTTGATGACTGTCTGATAACACATGGCTCATTTAACCCAACCATACAGTTGAAACTGTATCAGAAGGTTATTGTGTGGACCAAGTGTAAGGCATGGAGCACTTAAATAGTGCTTGGCACTTAGCAAGTATCTATATTTGAGCAGTGAGTAATATTAGTCTTGCCCTCGAGACCTGGAAGTGCAGTAAATGGAGAGGAGGCTAGTGGGCAAGGGCACCTTCTGCTAATCCTGATGATCTGAGTTAGTACCCAGAGCCTACATGGTAGTAGGAAAGAAACAACTCCTGCAAGAGTTCTGTCCATGTGTGCCATGGCACATATTCCCCCACCCTCAAAAAGTGAAAATAATAAAAAAGAGGTAAAACATCTGATGATCACTCAGATATTACTTATAGTAGTGGATAATTTATGGAATAAAAATGTTCAGCAACATTATAACTTTGTATATCTATGTAACTATATTAATGGCAGGTCTTTAAACATATGGCCTCAATTTTCCTCTCTGTCCTTCTGGTCCTATACATTCAACCCATCTTATGCTTTGTTTTACCTGAGATAGGATCCAATCCCTAAGAACTGAACATCTACCTCCTGAAGAGGCCAATTTTGATGCCATGATTCTAGTGTAATTATAGTTACATCTGTCCCTATGTCCAATAAGCCCTCAGTTGCAACATTATTTATTCATACCCTTAGCTTTGGTCTTTGGTCATTTATAGAAGTCTGCCAAAATAATCATTTTATTGTTCTTCCTGTAATTTTTTATTCATCTTCTAAAGCTATTCTATCATCCAAAGCAGTATGGTTTTTTCCAATAGGCACTGGATCCTTGAATTTTTATGGAGTGGAGTTTCCTCCACAGTGACTGGGAATGACCAGATCACATTCAACTTGGGGGCCTGTGAGAGCCACACCCAAGACATTTCCCTATGGTAAAGGGCTGCCTTGTTTATCTCTTGTTGATTTTCATTCATTGATCCAGTGTCAGCCTTTGCCATATCTTCTGCATAATCCAGAAAGTTGAGGCCTTCTCTTTGGGTTGTTCCTAGGAGAAACATTGTTTCTAGGAATACCCTGTGTACAATTTCTTCTTAGATGGCCTGGTTTATCACAATTCAAACATTTGAGACTTTGATGTCTGTTCAGGCCTTTGAACATCGCCTCTCCTATCCAAGCCTCATCACTATAGTTATGAGACTCAATATTGACTGTGTTGGCTCTATTCTCCTATGGGTGCTGATCTGACCTTTAAAGGTGCAATTATCTTTTTGCATTCTAATTTAGCATTTTCAAAAGCCAAAGACTGAACTAGTATGTACCTAACTTGTTGATCTGATATTATTCTATTTACAGGCTTTAGTCAATCTTTGCAAAAAGTCAGTGAAGGGTTCTTTTGAACCCTGTATAACTTTAGTATAGGAACCAATTCTTTTTCCTGATTCTTGAATCTTGTCACAAGCATTTAAGGCTGTTGTACAGCACAGGGACAAGATGTGTTCATTGAAAGTAGCCTAACTATTTACATCAGCATAACAGCCCTCTCCAAGAATTTGGTCTTGAGAAATCTCAAAAACTCTAACCCAACCTTACTGCTCAAAGCCCTTACGTTCTCTCAACCAGCTCTTCCATTGTAACTGAGAACAATATTCTAATACTGCAAAGACTAATTGAGTCCAGTCATTTGGAGTAATTCTATTTTCAGAGGACCATGCATACCATAAGAAACTATTGCTTCTTTAATATCTTTTAAATCTCTCATATGTATGTATAGGTTCCCATTTGCAATATGCATGTCCTTCAGGATAATTATATGCTGGCCTTTCACAAACAGTAACAGGATAAATCATGGCAGGTTTGCTGACCACCATAGGCAGCTCATCTCGAACTCTGTCAGGTACTGGTGAGGTTAATTCCCCTCTAACTTCTTTTCCCTGCGCCTTAGTGTTCTTTTTTTTTTAAATCAGTTTTTAATAAGTTCTTCTAAGGCTTGGAATGTCTTTGTAACTGACTTCTGTAGGGTCTGAACCTCCTGAACAGTGAGTGCTTTCAAAGCCTTCATTAAATCAGTCAGTTTCTTGTTCTCATGATTCATACATAATTCCAAAGATTTTATTTTATCCACTAAGGCTACTTTGTCATCCATAGTGATTATCTATAGGGCATGCATATTCCCTCCCCAAACCAATGTTCTATCCACCAATTTCTCATAACAGTTCTCTATGGAATGTATCTTTTTGGCTAATTTCTCATTACCACTTTGCAAAGTCTGCATCATTTCAGTCAGTTTTTCATTTTTTGGCACGTTTATCAAACAATTTTTTAAGGATGTGATATGAATTGCCAGACTAATAGCAATTATAGCTAAAAATGTGTATATCCCATGTAGGTTGTTTGTCTCTTCTAGTATACCATCCGTAACAGACATATGCAAATGTGTAATCTGCATTGTGATGTTACCTGCCATTGGTTTAAAAAAAAGTTTACAAATTTGTAAAAAAAGATTTGTTTATTTGTTTGTTTATCAGTTTAAAGTTCAAAATTATCAAGTAATTTATCTCAGATAAAATCCTTGGAAGATTGTCCTAAGTGTAAAGCTCATAATTGACCAGGCAGATTCGGATAGTTTATTTTATGCCATGATTTTTTTAGGATGTAATAACGATGTATGGCCAGCAGGTGTCGCAGGTGTGCCACCAAAGCATGTCCTGGGATGCTGTAGCTCTGCTCTAGCTTGGAGCTCCTCCTGAATTTGACTGACCTGTGAGTTCTAAGCAAAACTTAAAGGAATGACACCAAACAGATTCGGCTAGAGAAAGCAGCTGGGAAGTCTCAGCTTCTGCCCGCATGCTGAAGCGGAGCAGAATCTGTTTTCTGAGCAAAAATGGCTGGCTGGACCGGGCCGCTGGACCATGTGGCCCAGCCATGGAGCACAGGTGCCAGTGGCTGGCGTGAGCTGAGGTCCAGAGCTTGGAGCAGCCCGGGCCAGGACGCCTACAGGCAGCTGGGAGCAGGGTGGAATTGTGCTTCATCACTGGTGAAGCGCTGGCACAAGCAGGGTTGGTGGCATGCGGGCATGCACAGCGTGGAGCTGCTTGGACCAGGGTGGGATCTGCTGGGAGCTGGGAGCTGGGAGCTGGGAGCTCTGGCGGCAGAGCGGGGTAAGTTGCAGGTCGGGAGGGGGCCTCAGAGCGGGTATTTCAAAAGATGGAGTTTGGGTGTGGGCTGGGGCATAGACGAAAGGGGAACCTGCTTCTGCGCGTGTACATGCCTAGCAGGACTGATGGGGTTGTGGGGCATACATCCCGTCTCTGACCACCTAAGAGAGCACAATCACACTCTCCCCTCAGTTTTAACTGGTCACTACCCAGAAAGGGCCATTTCCATTGGGTCAGATAGCCCAAAGGTCATTGGTTAAACCGAATGATTTCCCACAACAGTGCCCCAAGCACTGGCATCTACTCACAGCAGCGCATAATCTGGTGTGTTGCCACAGAAGACAGAAGAAAGCCAGTTTTGGTCGTTGTTGGGAGTGGGGTAGGATGAGAAGAAGCCGGGTACTGATTGTAAAATGTTTGTCTTCCTTTTTCTGTTTCTTTCTTTTTTTCTCTTCTCTTCTCTTCTCTTCTCTTCTCTTCTCTTCTCTTCTCTTCTCTTCTCTTCTCTTCTCTTCTCTTCTCTTCTCTTCTCTTCTC